AGAACTCAACTTCAACAATTCTTGGACAACCTAAGTGAAATACATTTGTTCTTTGGGAAAGCAATCGTCACTTTTATGTCTTGACTACTGTGTTCCAGAATAGAATGTTCAATTAAAATGCCATAAAATTACATCATGTTTCTTAGTCTTTCTTTCGAAACTAGTGAGCGACTATGGTTGGAAGACGAAAGGCTTTTTGAAAGGAAGTGCTTTCTCAGCGTTTGAAATGCCTCCAGATTCTTTACCTTTTCATCTCAACATCAAAGTTGGGAAAGACTCTGACACACCAAAGGCAGGTGTTTACAAGTGGCTCACAGGGCACTTCGTTAGCCTGTTAATCTGTCTCTCTCTATGGATTTGCATCTTCGAAACAAAGCATTAGTCTTTTATTTCTTTTAACTTTTTGCTGACCTGTCCCCTCTTTACTGGCAAGCTGCTGACACATTTTGACAGATGACTTGGCTCATAAAAACAAAGGAAGAAAACAGAGAGAAGGGGCTTCACAAGAAGTGTGGTCAGTTTATATGAAACTCTGAACGGGGCAAAAGCCCACAAATGAATATTTACAAATTAGTTAAGAAAAAAAGGTTCTTATTCTCTGGATGACCTAGTTCTCAGCTCTCATCACCTCGAAGCCAGGAGAAGTCAAAATATAGGCAATGGGAAGGGATACAATTGGGACTCATTTTTTAAAAAATCAAATTCTGTAAATCTGGAGGGTTTAAGTTAAGGCACCCCCATTCACCAAGAGGCGGCCGTATGGGACAGTTATCATATCAATCTCTTCCTCAAGCTCTGAGAGCCAGAAAATATTTTCCAAAGCCACATTTCTTGCTTATTTTTTTGTGGTTGTTTGCTGCATTTAGATATTTGCAATGCCTTTGTTGCAAATGTTCCATCTACGATGCTTTTAATGTGTTACCAACTAAATTGAAATTGAGCACATGGAAAACCGGTAGGCAGAGGAATGGGGCAAAGTATATCCCAAAGAAGAGTAATACAGAGAAATAGAAGTTATGGTGAGTTGAATCTGTGCCCCCTCATTCATGTCCCCTGAACATGAGCTTATTTTAAAAATAATGCCTTTGTGGATGTAATTAGTTAAGGAACTCAAGATAAAATTATGCTAGATTTAGGATGGGTACTAAATCCAATAACTGGTATCTTTAGGAAAAAGAGACAGGTCACAGAAGGACACATCGAGAAGGTAGAAATGGGAAGGCAGAAGCAAAGATTGGAGCGATGTGTCTATAGGCTAAGAAATTCTGGCAGCTAGCAGGAGCTAGGAGAGGGGCATGGGACAAATTCTCTTTGAGCCTAGCCCTTCGTTTCTTTTTCTTTTTTTTTTTCTCTCTTCTCTTTGGTACAGGGGATTGAACCCAGTGTGCTTAACCTCTGAGCCACATCCCTATCTCTTTTCTTATTGATGGGATCTCTAGATATTTATACTTTATCTAGAGTTGCTTAAGGTCTTGCCAAATTGCTGAGGCTGGGTTTGAACTTGTGATTCTCCTGCCTTAGTCTTCTGAGCCACTGGGATTTGAGGCTTGCACTGCCACACCCGGCTAGCATTGTACAGTCTATCTAAGCAAACTTCATCTGGTAATATTGCCCCTCAAGACAAAGACTTTGATATGGGAGATGATCCTGGAGTATTATATGGTCCAATGTTATCCCAAGTTTCCTTATGAAAAGGAGGTAGGTAAGTCAAAATAAGAGCGGATTTGAAAATATGCTGCTGGCTTAAAGATGGAGGAAGGGGCCAGGAGCCAAGGAACAGAGGCTGCCTCTGAAGCTGGAAAAGGCTAGAAAATGGAGCCTTACTCCGTATGTTGCTTGACAGTCCAACGAGGCCCATTCTGAACCTCTAAAAATGTCCACAACTATAGGAGAAAACATTTATGTTCAGTCACTAAGTTTGTGGTTATTTATTACAGCAGTCCTAACAAATTAATGCACCTGTCCTCTCCTCCTGGGCCACCAGCATGCTCCCTGTGAGGGGGGCTGGTCCCTGCTTCCCAGCCTTCATCTCCAGGAAGATCTTCAGGAGTAATCCCCAAAGATGCAGAAAACCTGCCAGTATCATAGAGGACAGGAGAAGTGTCCCTGGTGGGTCCCCACTCTTGGGCAGCAATCTGCCTCCAAGCTGAACCATCTCTGGTTTACAAAGAAAACATTTTTTTGCTGGGACGCATTTCCTAAAGCAGTATAGAAGCTGCAAAATTTTGAAACAGCAACTTTCATGTCCTCTGTGACAGTCTCTCTCAGTCTTATTCCTACCTGTGGGTTGTCAGATGCATGTTTTCTCAGCAATGTGTTCCATTACAGTTGGGGATTCTCAAAATATCCACTCTATACACCATCATCCCCTGAGTGGCAGGAAGCCACTCAGAATCACTGCTTGGGAACCTTTCAGATTTTTGACCTCCTACGTATCTCCATATCTATTTAGCTAGCTAGTTATTGTCCATCGGTCTGTCTGCCTATCTATCTAGCTCTTTTTTTTTTTTTTTAGAAAAAGCTACTTCCTTAAAGAATGACTGACATACAAAAAGCTATATATAATGCATGCAACTTGATGAATTTGGAGAGAATACATCATCACAATCTATACCATAAAAATATGTATCACCTCCAAAAATTATCTTTCGTATCTCAGACCACACTAAATACTTCCATGGTAATTTTTTTATTTTTTTATTTTTTAGAATTTTAATATTTATTTTTTTTAGCTTTTGGCAGACACAACATCTTTGTTTGTATGTGGTGCTGAGGATCAAACCCGGGCTGCACACATGCCAGGCGAGCGCGCTACCGCTTGAGCCACATCCCCAGCCCGCAGTTTTTCTTATTTAGTCTCACAATCACCCTATGGGGGCAAGAACAATGTATAAATGTGAATTTTTAAAATAATATTTGTTTTCTGATAATAAAAATATTGATACTTCTATACTTCCCAGTTAATTGACTGTAAATACTGTATATAGACTGTGTGTTCTTTATCGTGTGTGTTCTTTATCATAACTTCCAAGTATTAACACTGTAACACTGTTGATATTCTTATCATCCTGAATTGGCATGTAGTACATAATACAGTGGGAGGTGTTTGCAATGTCTTTTTTCCTTTTTCTTTTTGCACAGGGGATTGAACCCAGGGGTGCTTTACCACTGAGCAATACCCCCAGCCTTTTTAATTTTTTATTTTGAAACGGGTCCTCACCAAATTGCTGAGGCTGGCCTCAAACTTGTGATTCTCCTGCTTCAGCTCCTGAGTAGCTGGGATCACAGGGATGTGCCACTGCACCTGGCCCACCCCCCCCTTTTTTTTTTTTAAACCCATGACCTTCTGACACTCAATCAAAGTCTTGGGCATCACCTATGGCTTCAGAAAAAGTTTATGAGAGCTAAAGTGTTAAATCCTTGGCTTTTGAGATTGAAAAGTTGAGATGTCAAAAAAGGGACAAAAAAGATAGGAAAGAATATGTAATGTCAGAGGCAGGTTTTTGCAACCCAAAGAGGTGGGAGTGGAGAGCAGTGTTGGAGGGTAAAGGTGTCAGGTGCTGGAAAGTCCCTGAGAAAGAGTCCTTTGTTATCCTCCTGAGGTCAAGCCACAGAACAGGGGGAAGTTACCAGAAGCCCCAGATCAGAAAGCCTGGGCAGGTCGTGAGCATTAGTGCTGATGCTAGACCCCACATGACTCAAAAGATGGTGACTGAACAGATGTGGATGGGGGCTTCTACACGGGTGGGTATGGGCCAGCCTCAGTTTCCTCATGTTGAACGTAGGACAGGAGCAGCCTAGTGTTTCTGGTGCGCCAAGAAGGACATGGAAGTGGCACAGAGAGAGCCTGTTCCTAGAGACAACTGGAGGTGGGGGTATGGTGAGGGACACAGTCACGTGATGCAGGGAGCAATCGCTGCAGACCCCTTGGAATGAAGGCGCCTGAGGAGTGGACGACAACCCCCCACTGCCCATGCAGGTCGATATCAGTCACTGGACCTGAGATGAACTCAGAGAAATGATGTCAGCTGTCAGCTTCCGCTGCTCACTGGGAGGGTCTTACTGAGAAATCACATTGAGCAATAAAAAAGAAAGTGGTTTTTCCTGCTCCACTGGATGTGTGGCCTGAGATGAGTTCCAGTGACAGCACTACCTTGTAGTTTACTCAACTGTCCTCAACCAGTGGATCCTGAGATTGCCCTCCCCCATCATAGGAAGCTCAGAAGCCTGAGTCAAAGCAGGGCTCTCCCTGCTTTGGTAAGAACAGGCTCGCCTTTGTCTTAACAGCAGGTTGACATTTTGATGGCATTTTCTGGGAGCTGGAATTCTACAGATCAGGGTTTTGTTGGAGGTGTCAAGCCTGCTCTTAATGAAGGGCTGTGCTCTGGCTTTTCCCTCCGCCTGAAATACCCCACCCACCACAGCCAGGTCGGTCTCTCACTTCTCCTATTTCTGCTCCAATGTCCCCTCATCCAACAGGCCTCCCTTAACTGTCCCCACCACCTCTAGTCTCCCTTATCTTGCTTTATTCCTTTTCTCCACCTGATATAGCTTATACTTAATTATTTACTTGGTTTCCTTCCCCCGAAATGTAAGGGCTTTGTGATCCAAACCGTCCCTGGGGATTAAACCCAGGGCTTCACAAATGCTAGGCAAGCGCTCTATCATTGAGCTACACCCCAGCCAGAACCTTATTTTGTTCCCTACTATATACTTGGCGCTTAGATTAGATTCAAAAATCTTTGCAGTGTCCACACTAGTCCATGCTTGGCAAAGATTTTTTAAAAATATTTTTTGTTAGTTGTAGATGGACACAATACCTTTATTTATTATATTATGATTTTTTAAAAATGTGGTGCTGAGGATCAAACCCAGTGCCTCACACGTGCTAAATGAGGGCTCTACCATTGAGTCACAATCCCAGCCCTCTGAAAAGATTTCGAATCAATGAAAACAAATATCGTCTACAGATAGGTTTTTATTTCAATGTCTGTATTTTTTTTTCTTTTTTAAAATATTGCCTTTGTTTCTCTATAACACAGCTCTTGACAAAGAGGAACCATGTCTCATGCCACTCTCCAAATGTCTAGAATGGAATAGGTTTCCAACAAATATTTATTAAAAGAAAAAAAGAAATGTGTAAGCAAATGAACAAAACATCACAGCAAAGGTGTGGCTAAAGATTGCCTGAGGCAGCCAAGTGACCCCACCTCTCCTTTCTCTCTCCCCATCCCCCTGTCCCACGTCAGCTAGCTCAGTGAAAGTTGTCTGGTTTGGGGACAGAGCTATAAAGAGAGGAATTTGATCTTCCATTTTCTTTCTGTAAGAACATGAGAACATTTGGGGAAGAGAGGTATATGGAAAGAAAAGATGAAAGAGACTCCTAAAACAGAAAGGTAATGAAAAAAGAGGACCAAGGAAAGGAAAACATGACATATTGGCAGCATCGTAGGATAGATGAAGGACTGGAACATTTAGTACACTTTACATTCCATGCAAGTTGTTTATGTGACTGTGCCATAAATTCCTTGTGACCCAAACCATCAAGAAATTCAGCTACCTTCACAGAGGCCTCACGTAAGTGGTTTTTAATGTGTGAAAAATCAAAGAAAGGAGCTAATTTTCCAACTGGTTCAAATCAAAGGAGAGCCAAAATAAATCCACACGTTTTAGACACAGAGTAGAGACCAAGATTCTCGAAGGATGGCAAAAATCAGAGGAGACCCCCAGGTCATAATCCCTGAAAACTTTGCAGAAATCTTGAGAGGGATGTGACTTTTCCCAGGCATGGGATCTAGTTACCCCTGGTTCACTTACACAGTTTCCGAGTTGTGTTGCCAGCCTGTGCACTCCTGGGACCTGGTCCTCCTACACTGGAAGCCCCTATGCACTGGAGGGCCATAGCATGGCTAGTGGATGGCACAATTGGATTGCGACTCATGGAATTTGACCTGTGCTAAATTGCAAGTCTGTACAAGGAGCAGCTTTGAACACACGTCTATCTTTCAAAAGCATTTCCTGCTTTTCCAATTAGGCTAACAATTAAAAAGATCCCTTTTCTGCATTTGCCTTTGTTGGCATTTGGCTCTTCCCTGGATAGCACGCTTATTTACAGGTTCTAGTTTATCTCACATACCTCTTAGGTAAAGAAATGCTACCACAGCCCAAGGGTGTAAAGCTTCCCAGGATAACTGGATCTGGCAAGTCACTGAATATGTTGGTGTACACACCACCCCAAGGGAGGTCAGAATAGCTTTGGCAGACAGCTAGGCGGCCAGAAGGATAGATAAAATCCAGGTCAAGGAATTGATGTTGGTAAAAAACTCAATAATGCTAATAATTTTTGTCCTATAGAAAGACATTAACTCTATCAAACACACATTCTTCTTCTTTTTAATTAGCTATTTCCTTATGAGGCAGTCCAGAGAAGATGACTCTTTCTGGTGGTCACAGAGCATGGTGGTGGTAGGGTTAGACAAGCACACAGGCTTCTGACTCACAGTTCCACGCTCTCCCCCTGTGTAAACACTCCTGCATCCTTGTTTGGCTCCATCTTCTCTTAAACCAATCTGTGAATAATAACAGGGGAGTCTGATCAGACGGGTCCTGGTAATACAGAGTTGTTGGAAACCAAAGCTGCTTAAAGACAGAGCCGGAGAGTCAGGTCTCCCATCAACACCTGTGGACAGGTAGAGATATGGCTCTGGGAGTGATTTTACAAAATCTGTACCAGCCTCTACGAAATGGACTATGGTGGACTCTCAGGGACTTTTTCCTTTGGGATAGGTAGGAGTTGATTACAAAAATCAATCTTCTCTCTTAGATTCTCCAGATACTAAATTTCCATGTGGTTCTAATAATCATGAAAATGAATCGGGGGAGAAGTCCTTTTCTCAGAACACCAGCTCTGGGAACTTCACAAAAAATGTCAGGGACCACTAGAGCTTCCTTGAAAAAGAAGGAAGTTTTGAAAACCAGGGAACTTTCCCCCACCTCATTTTTGGCCTGATTTGTCCTGCCCCCAGTGGGAAGGAAGGCCGACGCTCACCGGAAAGCATTGAACAAACACGAGGCCTGAGACCTCTTTCCCCAGTGCTTCCTGGGATTGATTTTCTGCTGGATGGAAACCCCCACCTGTCAGCCCCTTCCTTCACATCCTGCCACCTTCACCTTCCTTTCCCCTTGGGAATTTCATAAGGATATGAGATGAGAGAGGAACTGTCTACCAGGGCATGATGGAATTTCTTCATCGTTGGGTTGGTCTTCCTGAGAATGGGCATCTTAGGCCTCCTCTCCAGCAACTCCAGCCGGAAACTCTGAGAATCTTGGGTACCCTGGTTCTCCTTCTTGCTTTCAGCTTCATAATAATGGCTCAGGATAAGTTGTTTGTTGAATCCTTCTTTTTTTCAGTTTGGCTTCTTCTCTTTTTCTGTTCAAAAGAAAACAATTCACAACATGGCTCATTTCTTGATCTTATCTGGCTAGTGACTCTCTTAGAGGCCTCTGCGGCCTACCATGACCGCGGATGTAATAAGCTTTCTTTAAATCAGAAGAACTGAATTTTGAAATAGATTCACCCTGAGTCCTTAGCCAAGTGCCCATGGAGTGCTTACTGTTTTAAAAGGGTTTCTGAACATCTCTTACGTGCAAGCACTATACCAGAGGCTATAGGAAATGTAAGGACTAGTATACAGCCCCTGGGATCACAGGAGCAGCACAGTGTAGAGCAGGCTTTCTGTGAGAACTGAGTTCAATTCCTGACTCTACCACTTGGTACTGAACAAATGAGGCAAATTACTTACCTTCCCTGAGCCTTGGTTTCTTTTCTTTTCTGTTTAAAAAATTTTTTATGTAGTTGTAGAAGGACAGAATGCCTTTATTTTATTTGTTCATTTATATGTGTTGCTAAGGATCGAACCCAGTGCTTCACACATGCTAGGCAAGTGCTCTGCCACTGAGATACAGCTGCAGCACTGAGCCTTAGTTTCTTTATAAAATGGGGATAATAAGATCTTACAGATATGTAAGAACTCTCTAATTAATGCACATAAACCCCTGAGCATGAACCCCAGTATTTGGTATGCACTAGTTGTAACGCATACTAGTTGCAATTATTTCAATTTGGTAGGGAATATACATATGTTCATTTGAAAATAAGATGGCAAAGGAAAAAAGGGAGGTGAAATTACCTTTAAGTTTCAAACTGAGTCCTGATAGGTAGTCTCTTGGAACATTCATTTAATCATTCACCATTATTCACTAGGGGCCTTTTACAGGCAAAAATCCTAAGATTCTTGTAAGATGGGCACTATTTATCACCATTCTAAAGAGAGGTGCCTGAGTTTACCCTGCAAGGTGGCATACACCTGTAATGTCAGCTACTTAGGTAGATACAGGAGAATCACAAGTTCAAGGCAAGTTTCAGCAACTTAGCAAAATCCTGACTCAGAATTAAAAAAGGACTGGAGATATAATTCAGTGGTAGAGCACTTGTCTAGCAATTGGAGGTCCGGAGTTCTATCCCCAGCACTGCAAAATATAAAAAAATAAATAAAAATAAAGAGAGTGCCTGAGTGACACAGCTATGTGGTAAAGCCAGGATTCAACGGCATGCATGCCAATTCCAAACTCACTACCAGATCCACCAGGGCTCTGTATCTAAAAATCAGCTAAGGAAGCAAACCTTCCTAGTTCTTTCCTAGTCTACTTTCTTGCCCCCAACATGCACACATGTGTGTGACACATTTTTACATGTACACACACACACACACACACACACACACACACACACACACACATGCACGCTTAAGTACCCAAACATGGCAAGCAGTAGTTGTGGGCAACACGCCATTAGAAGTCTCAGGAGTCAAGATGGCAAAGCAGGGGGGTCATATACTAAAGAGACTACATTGCCTGTTTCCTATCTGCAAGGACTGGCTGACTTGCCCCACCCCATGGTCCCAGCAACCAAAGGAGGACAGCTGGCTTCCTATTTGTTAAGATGGAATGCAGGGATGGACTGGGCCACTCTCTCAAGAATAATCCAAAGTGCTAGGATTCTCATTAGGAGAAACGGGAGCCAGCTTCTCAGAGAAAAGTCAGCACTTCCATTGTGGGCGTAGAGAGGGGCTAAAAACAAAATCCCAGCAACAGCATGAAAAAGTGTCTAAGACCGCCCTTGGCAAGTCCCTTCAGCCTCAAAACAGATTTGATCAGGAGTTCCCTGGTGTTTTCATTTTAAGGTGTACTTCAAATTTCCTAAAATGGAGCTGGCATATCTCAAGGAGGCTTTTAGTGTGTTTGGGAGAATTGGTATGCGTGTGTGTATGTGTGTGTATGTCTGTGTATGTGTGTGTGTGTATGTGTGTGTCCCCGTAGCAATGTTTAAATGCATGCATTTATTTGATGGGTGCAGGATTTGGGGAGTGGGAAAAGCTATACTGAAAGGAAATTTTAAAAGGATTAAGAATAAATCACTGGAAATACTATAGCTGATTAATGATAGGAGGAAGAGGTATAATAGCTGGGGGAGGAACGAGAGTGGGAAAGGTGGGTGAGAGCCAAATGTGCCACTTGGTAGCTGGAAAATGGAAACACGTCATTAGAACAACTGCTCTCTCTGTATCCTTTTGTCTCTTCCCTCCTCCTGCCTCTCCTTCCTTTCTTTTCCATGTTCTCATAAAAATGTATCCCACTGTAAAAAAACAAGGTGAGTGGGCAGCATTTTTGTTAACAATATGTGTTGTTAAGCTGGCAGAATGTCAGCTTAACAACACATATTTATAAACCCAACCAGAAACCTGAGTCCAATTGCCAATTTCCCAAGCTCAAATCTCAGCCCTTAAATTCAATGCTGCTGAGAATTGATTGTATTTTCTGTACCTTTCTGCAAATGAACCATTTGGATTATTAAAAGAACAGCAAATATGCCCCTAGAGTGTAAGTCTCTGCAATTATTGGGAAAAGAAAAGCCATGCTCCCTCTCCTTACCAAGAAGGCCAAAATTTAAAACACAAAAGCTCTAGTGCAAAAAACTCCAAGGTATAATCTCACAGTTTATAAAGGCCTCATTAATCCAATACTTGGAGTAGTCAGCCATAGTTTGGGAAAAGTTGCCCATCTCCTTTTTAAAAGCAATGCTTCTTTTTCTAACCCATTTAGTAGGACGAGGAGTCTTCTTTATTGAATAAAGACCAGTCAGTCTCCAATGCCAACAAAAATGGTCTTTTCTCCACCTTTCTTAAAGTGTTGGCAGCACAGTAGTCTTGCCCTCCTCTTGCCTGAGGGCCAGAAGTTGACTTGTGGATTCCCTAGCAGTTGATAATTTATCTCCAAGTTCATTCATTTAACAAAGGAGCCCTAAAACTTGCACCAAATGGTTTCAGAAGGCTGGGAAGTTTTATGAGATTGCTTGTTTTTAGGAAAAGCCATTGCTAGATTTAAGGAATAGTCCTTCTTTAAATCAATTGTTACCCAATTGTCCCAGCCTTCTGGTATTGGATTACTCTAAACAGAGGCTGGAATAGATAAGAAACCACATCTCAAGTCATCTCACATCAAATCAGCCTAAGGATCTAATGCTAAATCCAACTTCAATGAATGAGGCATTCATTGAAGGCAGCAACTGAAGGATGTGCAGAGAATCTCTTATCCCATTATATAGATGAAGGAGCCAAAGTACAGGAAAGAGAACAATAATTGTAGTTGTTGCTTAGAGTATTTGCCATATTGCATAGATATACTGTTATTGAGCTGCATGATTTTACTTAATGCTTTCATCAACCCTATAAGATAGAGTCTAGTAGGATCCCCATTTACATGAGGAAAGTAGGGCTTTTTGAAACTAAGTGCCTCTAATCACATGGTTGGCAAAGAAACTGAAAGTTCTGTTTTATTTAAAAAAAAATAAGCAAGCAAGCTTCATGTCATCTCCACAGTATCTCTAATGCCAGCAATCAAGGGATGTTAGAATTTGACTGCTTTTCTTGTGGAAGTCTTTTGTAATATATGTATTGCAAAAGTGCATGTGCTAATTTTGAAACTAGGATTCTGTGTATGACAGATTCCTTAGGGACTAATTCAAGCAACTTTAACAATTCTCATTGTTAAAAAAAAAAAATTCCTTGACATGGTTCATTACCATGGGTCATGTGTAATAGTCTCTTACTCATCCTGGCTACTACATGCCAAATCCTCTTTCTCCATCTTATCCCCTGAGCGTCTTCTTAGTCATAAACCCATTTGTTTCCAAAAAACTGTCTCTGATGGTACTGGGTTATGATTTTTAAAATGCCTTTTACTAGCTTAGTGCTTTGGTGTCTATAAAGCATGTTTATGGAAATTGTGTTGAATTCAGCTTTACAACCACCTGCTGTTGTACAAACAGAAAACATATCATTATCCCCAAATGATTGATGACACTGAGGCTCAGAGAGTCCAAGGACTTATGCAAGATCCCACACCCATTGACTAATGAACGTGAGTGTTCTGACTCCAACTTTGATGGGCTTTTCTCTCTCCCTTCAATTAAAAAATAAATAGAATTAATTTTTTAGAGTAGTTTAAGTTTCACAGCAAAATTAAGCAGAAAGTACAGAGAGCACCCACTTCAAGTCTGGTGTTCCTTTCCTTGAAATATACTATCTGCTCCACATTTCCCTGGAGGCCTATTAAAGTAGAAAAATGAGTTCTCAATTCATTTAGAAGAATAATTTGGTGAAAATGGCTAAGATGCTCTTACATAGAAAGAATAACCAGAGAGGATTTGATATAAAAATATTAAGCTAATAATTAAAATTTATTAAATGCTACTTGAGTTAGAAATCTTACAACCCTATATAGGCAGCTACTATTATTATGTCTGTTTTATAGGTGAGGAAAGTGATACACAGGGAATTTAAAGGAATTTCTCAAAGTCATGTGAGTGGATGGAGTTGGGATTTTAACCCATTCAGACAGGAGTCCAGGCCTCTAACACCATTCTCTGACATCCTCTCTTATTATAGCATCTGAATAAATAAAGCAGCTGAAGTCATTTTAATGAGTGAAGATAAGATGAACTGAGAACTCATATCAGAAAGTCAAAGAAAGGGTGTTCCAAAAAGGCTCTAGAGAGATAAAAGAGAATTACAGTTAAATGCATTGGCTTGTATAGCCCCTCATCCACCTATTAGTTTTACAGTCTTGACATAAAGACAGTCTCTAACTTGTGGAGGTGTGTGAAGTGCTTTATACAGTGCCTCACACAACACAAGTGCTCAATAACTATTATTATTGGCATTCAATAAATACAAGCTGTCAGTCCTACCAGCACAGAGGAATAAAGGTAGAATCTCACCACTTCACACCACATGCATGATTTTCAGTTAAATGTAGAAAAAGAATAAAAAATAGTTTAAAGTAAGGGAGGTCTATCAAATCTCAGAATGAGGACAGGTTTCTCTAGTTAGCAGAACAATGGGGAAAAAATCATGAGATGAAATATTGACAAACAATAATAAAAATTAAAACATCTATGTGTTCAGAAGCAAACAAATTGGAGAAAGAAATATTTACCACAAATGACAAAAAATTAAAATCCCTAGTATAAGTAAGACACTAAAACCCATAGGCACTCAATGAGAGTAGTTTTTTTTTTTGTTATTGTTTTTGGTTTATCAGTTTAGCAAAGTTGCATGAACATTATAATTCTTATTAGTGCTAAGAACAATGCTGAGATGAGTTAACTGGCATGATTTTTTCTGTAAAGCAATTGGAAAACACTTTCTAGAACCTTAAAAATGTTCAGATCCTTTGAATAAGTTCCACTTGTAGGAATCTAGACTTAAGAAAGAACCAAAGAAGCAAAAAATTGTTTAGGACACTTGTATAAATGTAGATATTCTAAAATGGGAGAATGGTTTTTTAAAAAAGTCATGGAACATCCATGCCTTCAAATTCAAAGCAGTCATTCAGAATCTTGTTTCTGAAGGGTTGGGATGTAGCTCAGTGGTGGAGTGCTTGCCCAGCATGTTCTAGGCCCTGAGTTCCATCCCCAGTACTGGAAAAAACAAATATACATAAAGGAGGGGCAGGCACAGACCAAAATCTTGTTTCTGAATAACTTAATAACATGAGGAAATGCTCATGATCAAGCGAAAGAAAAAATAAAAGCAGGACAGAAGTATGGTATTCAAAAGACAGTTTTAAGACAGGAGGATAGGAAATTTGAGCGCAGCCTGGGAAGTTTAGCAAGATCTTGTCCCAAAATAAAATAAAAAGTGCTGGAGGTGTAGCTCAGTGAAAGAGCTTCCTTGGGTTCAATCCCCAGTAACACTTAAAAACCCATAAAATAAAAATGGCAATTTTTATTTAAAAGAAGACATTTTATAGATCTATATACACACAAAATGCATAGTACAAAATACAGTTTTATTACACATATAGCGGGGTGCAGATGGGTGCCTGTGTATGTATGTTAGGAAAAAAAAGAGCAGAAGGAAATAGCCAGAATGTAAGAATGGTATTCTCTTTGTGAACACATGTGGGAGGCCATCCTCCAACGTGATCTGAGTTACCTCCCTGGCTGGGTGAGAAGCGCTTAGGCACAGCTGTGTCAGAGCTTTCCCCACCCTTCTCCAGGTCTGAGGGACAAGGGCTTGTCCGTGCAGAGGCGTGTCTGGCCACTACCCCAAAGACCCAATGGTCGCCCCTGACCTTGGGATGCTGCCCCCCTTAATCTTCATTGGATGGGATTTTCTCTGGAATTTTTTGTTCCCCAATAAAAGCCCACCCCCTGGCGTGTTCTCTCTCTCTCTCTCTCTCTCTCTCTCTCTCTCTCCTGTACGCTACATTGCTCTCGAATCGATTTTTCACATGAACCCTAGTTTTTCGGGTGATTCTAGTATTGAGCTGTCATCTTCTGCCTGGCTGGGCGTTAGGGAGTGCTTGCAAGGTAACATTGTACTTCTAGGATAGCTGGGAGAAA